AGTGTTGAATTACCATTGGGCTAAGGTTTTTCACCTTTAACATGGGGATAGTTATATTTACTCAAGACTTCTCAGGAATAAGGCTTGTAGTTTAGCCCAAGACTTGAAGCATGATACAGGCTGAGTATCCCAAATCCCTAAATCAGAAATATCCTGACATTTGAAAACAATAATTCTCAAAAATTTTCTGATTTTGAAATATTTTGTACTTCAGAGTTTTGGGTTTGGAGTGCTCAATTAGTAAGACACATGCAACTATTGCAAAAAATGAAAAATTCTCCAAATTTGTAACATATCCTGTCCCAAACATTTTGGATAAGAAGTAACTTCCCTCTCTCCTCCTACCAAAAAAAAAAGAGCAAATACCAAGCACCTGTTACATACTCTGGGCTGCTGGCCCACCCAGATGCCCAATCTTGGGGCTAGGGGACATATCAGTGTCATCAAAGATTTGCATGTTTATTCAATTTTGTCTTTCTCACAGTTTTAAGGAAGGCATATATTACACACACACACACAGATCTCTTAGTAGAAGTGGGGTCCACAGCCAAGACTTGGACAATTTAAAAAAAAAGCTGAGTGTTGGTGTCCTGCTATACCTGTAATCTTAGTTACACAATAGGCTGAAATCTGAGGATCATAATTCTACAAAGCCAACACAGGCAGGAACGTCCATGAGACTTTTCATTCCAATTAACCACTCAGAAGCCAGAACTGGAACTGTGGTTCATGTGGTAGAGCACTAGCCTTGAGAGAACTAAGCTAAGAAGCAGTGCCTAGGCCCTGAGTTCAAGCCCCAGGCCTGGAACAGGAACAAAAAACATCACGGGGGTTAGATGTGGTAATCTTGAAGAAGAAAGTGTCTTGGAGATGAGGGAGGGATAAAGTATGCCTTACGATATACATAGCTCGTGAACATCAGTGGGATAATGGTTTTAAAATAGAGCCAATGAATGGGGGATGTACTTAGTGACCCATTTGTTATTGAACTGAATGTGACAGAGGATTGTAAATGGCACAAGGGCTCTCTCTTTATTTCTCTCTTTAGTCAGTCCCTCTTGGAGAAGCCAGATATATTGAAAAGATTCTCAGGTAAACCCCAGAGAGAACCCCAGGTTGTACAGAATTGAGGCTACCTATCCCATCTAAGCCTTCTTGGAGGAAAGCTGCCTTTGAATCAAGATGGCCACCATTTTGTCAACAGCCTCATGAGGCCATCTAGTAAGCACTTGATTGTTACTAGCAAATGGTTCATGCCTGTAATCCTAGCTACTCAGGAGGCTAAGATCCAGAAGATTGTGGTTCAAAGCCAGCTTGGGCAGAAAAGTCTAAGAAACTCCATCATCAAAATAACCAGAAAAGGCCAGGCTGGAAGCATGGTTCAAGTGGCAGAGAACTAGCTTATCAAGCAAGCTGAGCAAGCTTAAGGTCTTCAATTCAAATCCCTATGTGTATATGGAAGAGGGAGAGGGAGAAAGAGAAGAAAATAAAGAGGGAGAGGGAGGAGAGGAGAGGAAAGAGAGAAAGAGACAGAGACAGAGACAGCTCCACTCAGCTAAACCACTCCAGGATTCCTCTTAAGACACTGAGATTATCAATGTTTATTCTATGTTGCCATGTTTGGGGGCAATCTGTTATACCACAGATCATAAATACAGTGATAAAATGTTTCCAATGGAAATTTCCCTTTGGTTGGAGCCTGGGGGCCTGGCTAAGTGCCAGGTCTTAACGAGATGCCCAACAGTCTCTGCTTAGTTAAGAAGTTAGGATTTATCCTATTGGCAACTAATCCAAGCTAGAAGCTTTTTTTCTACATAGGAGTGACACGATCAGAATTGATTATGTTATGCTACATGAAACAGGATGCATAAGATTATGTGTGGGTGGTGGGGAATTTTTTTTCATTAAAGTCCTAGAAAGCAACAGTCCAGTTGAAAGAAATGTTTAGAGTCTGAACTAAAACAATCCATGGCAGAGGAATGGACATAAAAGGACTATTTTTAAGATTTGGTGAAAGAAACAGCTAATTTGTAGGGCCGTTTAGTGCTTTTGAGCCTCCCTCTGCATTGTGCGGGGCAAAAACTTGTGAAAAAGCATAACAATATTGTATTTATAGCACCACTACCATTACATATACACAGGAAGGTGCACACACAATAATTCGAGCCAGAAAAATGAATACTTCATCAGTTCTTCACAATTAGGAAATACCTCACTGTTAGAATTAACAGAAAGTACCTGAAAAAGTTCTCTGTAGAAACTTTATGAGTCATAGAAAATAATGAGCTCTCACCTTTCCATAGCAACTAGGCCTCACATTTGTTATTGTATGAGTAAAGCGAGGCTTAGGTTGATTATAAATGCGATGATATATAGTTCTATAGATATATAGATCACACACTATATTGAAATATGAGAAGCCTTAAATAGAATCTAAAATATCACAAACAATAATTTTGTCCCCATGAAAGTTTACTTATGAAACCATTGATTTTTATTTTTCCATGTTCTCCAGAAAGTCATGGCTACGTAAGTGTTAGGCCATGTATATTTAAAAGCCACATTTCTAGACCAATGGTGAGTGAAGAAAGCTTTCTTTTATTACCTTTTTATAGAAAGAAGACATTTTTGTGTTATTTTGAACTTATTGTGTTATCACCATTCGTAGCTACATTCCAAAATGCCTCTTCTCTTCTAGAAAAGAGAGTTCTAGTTTGATCATTGACCAAGAATGAGATATCCAAGAATAATCTCAAACTAATAGGATCAATGAACTAAATATACTTTTCAGAAGAAAAATGTTGATCAACCGTAATAGCTAGGAAATCTTTATCATCTGGTTCTGAAAATTATTTTAAATAAAATGCCTTTTTAATTTATATACCTTGTGAAACTTTGGAGGAAAGGTTCATCTTTAAAGAGCTTCACTCAATAAACACTCATTGACTATGCAAATAATAGGTGGCAGGACACATCTACCAAGGATTGGTTCTTCTATTAAAACAGATATGAGGGTCTAAGTTTCTTGTGGTAGAGACTGTGAAGTTAACAATGGCAGTCTAGTATCGGCCTTTCATGCCCAACAAAGTTACTTACCAAGTGATGGATTTAAAATGGGCTGAGTGAATGAGTGGACCAATGTATGGACACAGTAGTGCTGAGGCTGGGTTTGTATAGATACAATAAAGACTGATATTTCACAGGTAAGTCTACAGTAAGAACTCATACATATTTATAACTGAAGCATCTTGTGGGAAATGTGAAAAATCCTGATGTTTAAGAAAAGACAAAAATAAAAGAAGTGTGAACTAAGTGAAAGGCAGCAGCATATTTTAGAAACCTTGATGTAGCTTGTTTTAGTGAAAGCACATTGCTTTAAGGATACTGCTGTTTGAAATGGTTGAGATAGAGTAATAGCAGCTTCATAAAATGATGTATCTTCAAAGTTATCAAAAATGTGTTTTTAAACAGGGTGCTGGTGGTTCATTCCTAGAATCCTAGCTATTCAGGAAGTTGAGGTCTGAGGATCCTGGTTTGAAGTTAGTCCATGTAGGAAAGTTCACGAGACTCTTATTTCTACCAAAAAACCAGAAGTGCAGCCGTGGCTTATGTGGTAGAGTGCCAACCAATATTGAGCAAAGAACTTGAAGGACAGGGTCCAGGCCCTGAGTTCAAATCCCAGTACCCACAGCAAAAAAAAAAAAGTGTTTCTGGCTCATAGTCCACAGCTTAATTTTTCATAGAGGGAGAAAAAGAAAGGACAAAGAGAAACCATCACCATCAGAGCCTGCTCCAGAGCTATTTATTAGCATAACTTTTTCTTGTTTTCTTTTTTCTTAAAGATTCCATAACAACGCAAGTATGTACAAAGTCGTAAGCATTTTACACCATAAAAAGTTTCCTATTAGCTGATGAAGCCTAAGGTGCTGCTGCTGGAAACTTCTGAGCATGAAAACAATGAAGCAGACCCCTGTGCAATGCCCTTAGTGTCAGCTGGCTGACAGCTAACCAACCACCTGGAAGACAGGTAGGGGAAGGGCGGGGCAAAGACAAAGGTGATAGGCAGCCTAGAGACTACAGAGTTGAAAAGCTACAGTGTTTCTACAATTTCCTAGAGCTTTAACAAATGCCCACAGCCTGAGAGAACAACATATGCAAGACAACAGAATTACACTGCTCAGAGATGATTCATTTTTGAATGGGAGGCTCTATACTGATATGGCTGGTATTTCCATTTTTGTTCATGACTTCAGATAGCTCAAATCTATGCAAGTCCCACTCCAGTCCCCCAAATAGAACGACTACAAAGGGAGTGAAGAAAAAAACAGTACAAAGTAGTTCTTGCCTAAAAACATAACAACAAAAACAAAGGAACAACAACAAAAAAATCTCTCCAAACTAAATACACAACTTCGCTTTTTTTGTTTGTTTGTTTTTTTTTAAAAAAAGGCATTTAGAATCTGCTTTAGGGTAAGCCATTCCTTTCAAAAACATGAATGTTAAGAACTTTTGAATTACTCCATTCCAAACAACAACAAAATTCCCAAGTATCCAACCTCCTAGATTTAATCAACCTTGGTTGTTTCTGATTGTCTTTCCTTGGTTGGGATATTACACAGAAACACCAACATATACACACTGAATTGGACACAGGACTTAGTACTGCTGCCCCAACGAGGCTCTAGTAAGTGGCAAGAAGATTTCAACATGAAAATGACTAATGTCAGGCTCACAACTTTATTCCACAGAAAACCCAGCCTGGTCCTACATCTGGTCAGTTACTATTCATGATAGCAAATCCTATTTGTTTCCCCCCCTTTTTATGGTCTCTCACATGTAGGCAAAGTGGCTTTTTATTTCAAAAAGATTCTGCTCTCAACTTGAAGACCAGTTGATATAACTTTTAATTAAGACACAATAGCGAGGGATATAAAAACACAAGAACCACATAAATATTGAAGAAATTGTATACCATTTCTTTTTTGTTTCTGTTTTTCCCTTGTAAACAGTTTTGTCTAAGAGCAAAGCCCTAATTTAGATTCTGGCCTGAAACTTTTGGCAGGTAAGTGTGTTCAGCCAGGCTCTGCAGAGATGTGAAGGGGAAGCCAGACTCGGCGCCATGTTGACAGGCATGCAACTTGAAAACATTGCACAACAGAGCAACACAAAGAGTGGAAAAGCTCACAACACTTCAAAGGAGACCTCACAACCTTCACGACTGCATATGCACAGACAGACCCGCCCCTCCCCGTCTTTTCCAGCAGGTGTATCTCTTACACGTGGGACACCTTCTGTGACTCTCTAGCTTGTTTGATGCTATATAACCACTTGATGATCCTAGCATTTCTTTCGATGGCGGAGATGCCATATGGCACGCGGTCATTGGCACTGTCATCATTTCTAAGGTCACTGTTACTGTCCTGAGACTGTTCACAGTCTGAGCTGATCATGCTGGCGCTGCGGAAGTTGAGGGAGATGATGTCAGAATTAGCCCTGGCAAAGTTTTCCATGCCAAGGTTTTCCAGCTCTTCTGGGTCCAGTCCACAGTAGTTGAAAAACCTCTCCACATCCGCATCCACTCGGAAATATCTGTCACTCAAGTCTGACTTGGACCGCTGGAGGGAGGGCCTTCGGCTGACACCACAAGCTGGCTCCACAGGGGGGTCAGCTTCAGGGGACTTCATGGGGGCGGCGGCCTTGGGCTTGGGGGGCAGGGGAGGGGCAGAGCTGCTGCAAGGGATCGCTTTGAGGGGCTTCACGCTGGTCACCTTGCGGATGTCCGAGGAGCTGTGGGAGACGTGCAGGAAGGACTCGGCCGATTGCTCCAGGAGCCTCCTGCTCACATGGGAGCTGCTTTCTTGGGGACTGCCCCGGCCTGGCGTGGGGTAAACCTTCAGGGACTCGGCGAAGGAGTGGCGGTGCAGGTCACTGGCATCGGATCGGTGCGGTGGCCAGTTGCGGGAGCTGTGTTTGTGGCCTGAGCCCGAGCTGGAGCCCTCGGAGCTGTTGATGATGTTCTTCAAGATCTCCAGCTTGAGCGTCTCCCGTTGCATGCCACTCTCCGTCTTGGCATGGTTCCCGAACACCTTGAGCGTGGGGCTGCCCAGTGCGCGCTTGGCACCTGGGCACACAGGCGGCTTAGCCAACACGGAGGGCTTCACGGGCTCCTGCTTGGCATTGATCACCTCCTGGCTCTTGACATACTTGGCCTTGTCGGCTTCCAGCCTCTCCACGGCGCTCAGCCTCTTGGGGTTGGGCTCAGCCTGCCTGCGGAAGTAGTCTGGTCCTTTGTTGAGGATGCGCAGGGGGACAGCCGAGGTGAAGGTGCCCGCGGGGCTGACCGGCTTCACCATGCTACCTGTCTGTAGCGTCTCGGTGGGCATGGTGGGCGGTCTTTCCCCGGCAGCCGTGGTGGATGCTCTTCTGGGCGCCTCGAGCCGGCCTGAATAGACACATGTACATGAAGCACCTAAGGGCAGCAGGGGGATCGTGGAACCGCTGTCGGCAGCTGTCAGCAGCAGCAGCAGCAGCAGCGGCTCATCTCACAGCGCACCAACCGCCTCTGTGGCTTCGATACACGCCCCCTCGCCCCTTCCCCTTCCAGCCGGCCCTTGGCACCAAAAGGCCACACGCCACAAGTTCCTCTGGATCTGCGGCGTCGCTGCCTCCTTTCTTCTTTCTCCCTGAAGCCTGTGGGAGTCTCTCCTCCAGGTCTTTGTGCTCAACTGCAGGCAGGGCTGAAACACAAAACAACCAACCGCGGGTTAGCAGAGGCGGGTGACATCACAGCTCTAGCAACAGAGGAACCCCGCAGCGTCCCCGCCTCCGCTCCCCCCCTCTCCCCGCCTGCCGCTCCCCCCTCCCCACGAGGGGTCCCGGTAGCCCTCCCTGGGCAAGGCTCAGTTAACCGCAGGAGGAAGGCGATCTGGACCTGGGGAGGAGCTTCGCTGCCCAAGTGCCTGGCAGCCAGATTACAGGCATTTGCAAGAAAGCAAGGGGCCGAGGATTCCCACGCGCGAACTCTTGCCTTGGTGAGAACCGCCTCCAGAACACGCCCAGTTGGCATCGCTTAAGAGTGAAACCCAGGAAATAAATACGAGTGAATGGAGACAGGAGGGTTCAGCCAAACACCATTCCTTCCCGGCTCATTAAATGCTACCAGCTTCTTGGGAGCCCTTATGGGCTTTAGGTTACACCGTGGGTGGTGAGTGATGATTTACAATATGTCCCTTCCACAGTGTAGCCAAACTTGTGACTCCTTATCACCAATCTGTCAGTAGAACTTGAAACAATTACTTCTTTAGATAGGCGAGAAATGGGATTGGCAGGAAGTGTAAGAATTCAAGAAAAGAGCGGGCTTACACCTTCACTAGCCAAAGTTTTAGAAACTCTTGGGCAAACCAAGGATGTTTGTGACGTTTATCCCTATGAACACAGCCTTCTTTTTAGTACTAAAACGGAGAAGAAAGAGAAATACTTCTAGTTGAATCATATGCGTGTATGATTTGATTATAAGTGCTCCATAATGTCTCATGCTCAATGTGCAGAAATCACAACTTTCTTTATAGCACCAATATTGTTTCCCTAGAGGTACTAGGAATAAAATCTTAAAATGTCAATCATGCCTAAATGGTTTATACTATAGAAAATGTTTGTAATTATGCATTCATGGGACCTACTTAAAGATTTGTTTTTTAAAAAACTTAACTACTGAAATCAAAACCAAACCAGATCAAAACAAAACAAATCCCTTCAAACAAAACAATTAAGTCCTCAAATCTATAAGTTGAGATTTTTTCATTACTCCCTATATAATGTATACACAATTTATAAAAAGTACTTCACAAACAATATTTGTCCCTGGTACAAGACTCATTTCTTGTTGCTGCCAGCAGAGATCACTGTCCAACCCCTCAGCATTCAAAGCAACTGGTGGGTTAATGACCTTACCAGCCTATTTGGTTATAATTAGGAATACTCTCAGCAATCTCTCTCTCTCTCTCTCTCTCTCCTCTCCCTTTTTCTCTTTCTCCTTTCCTTCCTTCCTTTTTCTTTCTCTTTCACTTTCTCCCTTTCCTCTTCCCCTCCCTCTTTTCTTTCTCTTTCTTCCCTTTTCCCTTTTCTACTCCCTCCCTTCTCAACTTAAGGGAGTGAAGAATACTTTTCTAAGGCATCTCCCAGGAATCCCCTAGTCTTTTCATATTGCTTTCTTTTTTCATGAGACTGACACCTTAGGGAAGACTCCTAGGGCTTCTTATACTTTGCAGGCTTAGGAACCATTTATTGGACAAAAAATCACTGTGAAAGGATTACATTAAAAATAACAATGATTTGTAACCACTTCACATTACATTTCCTTTTTGTTCCCATCTCTTTCCTCTCTTCCTTCTCATTCCCAATCTCCCTAATATTTTTTAACACAGCAATAGGGGGGAAACACCAATATTTTGCTGGAAGACTCAAAAGCAAAAAGCAACTGTAGTCATGCTTGGTACTACTGTAGGATAATAATAGGCACACTCAAATTTTCTAGTTTTAGCTAACAAACTAAATCTACTGCAAAAATAATGTAAGTGGCTTAGGTTGTCTTTTCTCTTAATACTTCCTTAATCCTTAAGCTTCTTTTACTCTCAATGAATTGGGAAAAATGCTGGCAGGGACCAAACTGAAGAAACACTTGTGAGCTTTGTAGCATATACTTGATGTGGATCAGGAACATATCACAAGACAAATCAAATGTAGATGATCACACAGGTAAGGGAGTAACCTGGAGCTACATCTCAAGGTCTTAGAACCAGGTAATTATATTGCCTGTTAGGTACTACTGTGGCACATGAAGTCTTGATATTTGCACAGGCCCAATAGTGGTGGCTGGGCACTGATGATAGTGGTCAAGCTGACTTCTGGGCCTAGAACGGACTTCGTGTTGTTTTGGAGAAGGAAAATATGATCTTGTCCTTAAAAAGTTCTATAAACAAAAGTTATTATATTACTTTTTTTCCCCTCATGATGGTGGAGATCAAACCCAAAGCCTGTGCATGCTAAGAAACTATTCTATTTTGCATGAGAGAAAGAAAATCCCACTCAAAATCATGTTGGCTATAGTCCATCCATCTGAGAATTTCATAAAAGGGTAAAAAGGGCTAGGGTGGACCCATTGCAACAAGGAGATGTACAAGTCATTATGTCTAAAAACTTACTTTACAACTTTGGTGGGGGGTGGGGAGAGTATTGGGTAGGGGGAGAGGGGAGGATGGGAAGAGATGGGAAGGGGAAACAATGAGGAGGCACCAATGCTTGACAAGAAATGTACTTGTTATCTTGCCCATGTAATTGTAACTCCTCTGTACGGTATTCTCACAATAAAAAAATTAAAAAAAAAGAAATTTGGCAGATCTGAGGTATAAAACATTCGGTTTCCTGTATGAGGCAGTTGTGAACTGAAACGCGAATGGCCTGGGTTGCTGGGCTGGAGTGTGGTAAGGACAGAAGGGCTTATGACACTTGGATCAGTTGGCTGATAGAAGACACAGGAATGAGAGGTGGGATCCCACAGAGAAGTGGGATCTCTCTTTATTCACCCTACTGCTTCTCAATTTTAACTTGTGGCCCTAAATCTCCTAACAATGCCCAGTCTAACTCAATAGATTTGGGTGAAGCACCAAATCCTGCTTTTCTCGCTGGAGCCCAAATGATGTTAGTCCATAATATAGCCAGGAATGTGAGGAGGAAGCCCACATCTGGCCTGGCAAGCAGATGGGCAAAGATTTGTTGCCTCTTAAGTCAAAGGATTTTTAGGCATCAAAATAGCTATCTCAAGTGGCCTGAATCTTTCTAATTTCCAAGTTGCCAGCTGCTCATAGGATAGTGAGGTAAAACCTAGGACCCTCAGCTGATAGGAAATAGTAGCAAACATCTGCAACCCTGGAGGAAAGTAGAACTAGAGAATGTTTCTCCATGGACATGGTGCATTTGAACAAAACAATGCTAAAGCCAAAGCGTCTCTGTAATCTGGGGAAGGAGGGCTTTGATGCCTGGGAGGTGAGGCAGCTGCTGGAAGAATGCCTAGCCTGGGGACATTTGACAGGAGTTTGTCTGGCCTGGGGAAAGGGGCCCAGCTAGGGCTGCCATGGGAAGGAATGTGGCACACTGTTGCTCAGAAGCAAATCCAGAGCTCTATGCAAACCATCCGATTTTAAAATTCGGTCCTATAAAATCACTGTGGGCCAAATTTGGTCTGTTGTTTTGTTACTTCTTCTAGTGCTCCTGGTAAATAAAAAGAAAATTAGCTGCTAAGTTTTAAGTAGGAAAGAAAGCCACTGGAATTAAAGCAGGGGCTGTGGGAACGGAATCCACCCACAGGTTTCTAAGTATGTGAAAATTCTCCTACCCTAGGGCAGAGAAGAGGGGGGCAGGGGCAAGAATGCTTTAAAGAGCAAGTCTGGCTAATTCAACTCCATATCACCTAATACTATTTTATTGTCTTTATTGTTTTCTGGATAATCACAAACTTGTTGATCTGGTGGCTGAAAATGCTCAAATTCTTGGAAGAACATAGAAGAAGAAGCAATTTCCCCCTTTGAAATTAATAAGATTGTAGCAGAACCAATTCTTTCTGCTGCCTGGATGTCAAATCACAAAACTTTTACATGAAGAATGTCCTCTGGAACCCCGTGTTTTGGTCATAATTAGTATTTATATTGTGCACTTTGACTTTGCTAGGTTTCTTTGCCAATACTTAACTTCTAAGAATTCTTTTTTTTCTCTTTTTCTATTTCTTTCCTTGTTTTTTTTTTCCTTTGTGCTGGACCTGAGGCTTGAACTCAAAGCTTGGACACTGTTGCAGAGTTTTTCTGCTCAAAGCTAGTGCTCTATGATTGAGGGACAGCTCCACTTCCAAGTTTTTGTTGGTTAATTGTAGGTAAGAGTCTCATACTTTCCTGCCTGGCCTGGCTTTGAACCACAATCCTCAGATCGCAGCGTCCTGAGTTGCTAGGATTATAGACCTGAGCTACAGGTGCCAAGCTTCTAGCTAAGAATTCTTTTTGGTAAGATTCTATCTTGACTAGGGATCACTTCCCATTTCTGTGTTCTTGGCTTTTCTAATTAAATGATGGTTCACTCAGTTTCACATCTCAATGTGTTAAAGCTGAATTGTTTATCAAGTTAAGGGGAATGTGCTCAAAATTATGGGTCTTGTTCAATCAATGGATTAGTACTAGTTGACTAATCAGTTATGTATAAGATGTAAAAAATAGAAAACTCACAAAATAAATCTGATGAATACTAACTGAATCTGAATGATAAACGTGCCGAAGTGTCAAAAAGGAGCACAGAGAAGATTGAGGAGAGGAGAAAACTCCAATGGAGATACAGGTAAGGGTACTGGTTAACAGGGAACCTTTTGTCTAAGTTCATGGCATATTTAAAAAAAGTTGAAAGTCACTTTTGGCCAATGGGATAGCTGAGGACAGTAGGAAGAGGATTACTGGGGGCAGGGTGCAGAAAGACTTTGGCTTTTATATAGAGAGAAATAGTAAGACATTAGGGAAATTAAGCATTAGCTACATGATGAGATTTGTGTTTTTAAGAATGCTCTGACCACAGCGTGAGGACAGGTGGGAGGGAGCAAGGGTGATGACTGTAGGGAAGTAGTTCTGAGCCACCTAAGTAGGGAGATGGTTGTTGGGCTCTGAGTGTCACCCTAAACAGTATATATGGATTTGAATGCCACCTCTAGTC